GGAATGAATTGGATTGTTTTTTTCTCTCAACTAAGTGTGGCTCCAAATGGCAGCAGTAGACGACGGGCTACACGCTTAAATGACTGCAGACAAATCTTCAAAAAAAAAAAAAAAAAAACAACAACTATGACAACAACAAGTCGTCATACAAACGTACCACAATGAGACGTGTTGGAATTTCGTTTTTAATTTTTTTACAACACTTTTTCAAATCGACGTCTAGCACCAATGGAACAAATGGGGGGGTTCAACTACCAACTTTGCGCGACATAAAGCCAAGTAGAGTCGTATAGACCTTTTGAGAGAAAAACATTTAAATGGAACATTTTTTATGTATCGTAGAGAAGATCGAGTCATATTTAGAGTTAAGGAGGATTTTTTTTGTGGTTACAGAATACAAAGGGTTAGCTGAAGTCAGGCTAAGATGTAAAAATAAAATATGTAATATTAAATTAAAAATGTAATCTTGACAAGTTAAAAAGTATCAGTCGATTTTGCCGACAGATATATACCCCCAGCCAATGTTCGATTATTTAAATATATTTTGACTTCTGTTATGATTATTCAAATTTTTGACCCTCAATGGAGTAGTTTCCGAAGCCATGGGTCAGTATTGTCCATTTTTTTAATTTTATTCATTGAAAGCAAAAAATGTCGGAAATAGCATTAAATTTTAGAATAAGTTTAGATTTTTTCGAATTGGCCACCTTTGGAACGAATTATGGTCTTCAAACGGCCAGTAAAACCTTCACACGCTGCCCGAATGTTGCTCTGCGGTATTTTGGCCCATTCCCAGCGAAGCGCATGCTTGAGGTGATCGACAATTCCCAAAATTCTCCAGACCAATAGTCAAACGGATTGGTATCCGGAGATTTTTGTGGCCATTGTGCGCAGGAAATGAAGCGAGTACATCATTTTGAAACCATTTTTGGGTGGCGCATGCTGAGTGCGATGGTGCTGAGTCCTGTTGGAATGTCCAAGGTCTGCGGCCAAAATGTTTGCGTGCTCAAGGCTTTAATACAGGCTCCAGAATATTTTCTCTATAATATTCGGCATTTATTCTGATGCCACGGTCGATTAATACGAGCGTAGAGGAGACCATCGGCTTTTATGGCGGCCCATCATCATGGCCGGCGCTTGAGCTCTGGTGGCCAACCGAATGTGACATGTTCAGCTTACCTCTTTTGCAAGCGCCGATCACACGATCATTTTGTTTGTTTACAAACTGCTGAACAACAAATGTTTTCTCATCGGAGAAAACCAAATACGACAGTTCGCCACATTCGGCCAAGCTACTCTTTAGCTCTTTTGAGTCTATTTTCTTTCTGTTGCGGTGTAAATTCTTGCACTTTTTGGAATTTCAATGGCTTTACCCCGAGTTCATTTTTCAATATTTGCCGAATGGAATATTGCGATATGTTCAGCTTACAAGCCATTTTTCGGCCACTGCGATGCGGATTTCGATCAAGTCGCTAATTTACTTTTCAAACCATTTCTGCCGATGTTGCTGTTTTCTTTCGCCCATTTCCTTGAATTCGGGCTACGCTACCAGAATCACGGTAACGAGCGATGGTACGAGACAAAAAAATATATTCACATTTAAATGCTGGAGTGCTCTAACGATAGCCACTTGTGGTTTTCAAGCCAAATATAAGGAAATCGCATCGGTGCCTCTTAAAAAAATTCCACGACTATTGCATGGCTGATCGATTATAGCTTTACATAATATTCCTAATAATTTACAAATAAAGCCTAAAAGGTATTCTAAAAAAACCGCTTAAATTAAGACATGAAAAAATACTGATCGATTATAGCTTGAGATTATATTTCTAAAAATCCACAACTAAAGTCTAAAAAAGATTCTTTAAAAACCCCGCTTACAACTGGACAATTATTCTAAAAAATTTCATAATTAAGGTTTGAAAAATTATTCTCCTATAGCTCTCAAAAAATATGTTATTTCCACAACAAATCTATTAGACGTCCATTATCATTCAAATTTCAATTAGGAAGTTCTACTCCGTGTAATTTTTAAATGGGTATAATTTTCAAAACATGATTCTGAATAAATTAAATCTTCAATAACTCCCAAATGGATAACTTAATCAAATGGTAAACAAATCCAATACTTCTGACATCGAATAGGAAATTAGAACTTAAAATTGAGCTGTACTCATATTTCAGTCTAATTTATTCCAGAAAAAAAATGTGAAGTAACACTGTTCTGATAAATTTCCCTAGAATTCTCGGGACCCTGTTAAATGCCCAACCTCCCTGTAGAGTGTTCCTTAAATGAAGTTATACACATCCAAGAGAGGCTGGCTGGCAATGATTTGCATTTAAGCCAATTATAACCACTACGACAATTGTTCAAAACTCACATCAAAAAGAGTTTACTTTAGTTACTTTGGAAGGAAAACATCAAATGTACATTAGGAGGTCTGTGTAAACAGTTTACATTGTGGCAACGTCAACGTCGGTGGAGTGTTTGGTTTATTGCCTGGGCCAGCTGATATCTTGAACCAATTATCGTTACATGTCAACTATGTTTGGGTTTATTTACTTTTGCTGTGTGAGATAGTTGAAATACACCAAAAACCCACAATTGTAATGGAGATATGAGGGGTTAAATTTTTTTGAAAATATGTCTAAAAGAAAAATGAGTTAGTAAAACCCATACAAAATCATTGCAACAACAATTTCAAAGGTTATCAAAAGAATAATCGTTGATGTTTAAGAATTAAGAAAAAAAAACAACTAAAAATAATCATGATTTTCAAACATATTTTTTACAGAAATTCAGATCAATAATTGTGGCAATTTTAACGTTTTAAATATGTTAGTTATCTTAGCGGATTTTTATAACATCCACCAAAAATTAAGTGTATAATGGCTTAAAAATATACATTCGTGACCAGTTAAAATTCTATACAATTTGGACATGACCTTCCCCATGTAACGGCAACATCCAGCTTTCGGTATAATGGTACCTCTTGATTTTAGAGGAAGAGAAGATGGTGTAATCGTCTAGAGAAAAATACATATACATTGAAATACAATGACGGTGTGACAAAAACTAAAAGAGCACTCGACAAGAGTATAATACTTCTCCCACTAAAAACGAGAGAAGTATGCTCACCCTATTCAAGCGACATCGAAAAATTGAGTTTGCTCGATTATTTTTCTGCTTCCAACAGCGTTTCTGCTCGAATTTCAGCGACTTTCACACTTTATACAAATCATATAAAATATATATATATATATATATATATATATATATATATATATATATATATATATATATATATATATATATATATATATATATATATATATATATATATATATATATATATAGTAATTTTTAAGAATTATTTATCATAGATTTTTAAAGAATTTTCAGCATTTTTTTAGATTTTTTTTCGGATTTGAAAACATAAATTTTTTAGGAATATTCATCACGAATTTATTTATTATTTTTAGGAAATATTGTCAAGGATCGGGTTTTTTTAATATTTTTAAATATTGCAGAGAATATTTTTATTGTTGCCTTTAATATATTAGAGCATTTTGGCTATTTTTTATAGTGAACTTTTAAAAAAGATTTTTTTGTTACATTTTGGAAATTTTTTTTTATCAGGGATATTGAATGAATTTGGTGGTATATTGTACATTTTTATACCCCCAGCCATATGGCTAGATAGGGTATATATCATTTGATACGGTCAAAACGGTCCCAGTCGAAATAATGGTAATAGACTCTAGGTCTCCTTATGCCAAATCCGTTTCAGGACATTTGGAGTCGATCTAGCGATGTCCGTCCGTCTGTCTGTCTGACTGGTGCGCACAATAACTCTCGAAGGGAGTATCCGATTTGGTCCAAACTTTTTTTATCAAACTTAGATCGAGTTCGGAGATGGACAATATCGGACCACTCCTTCTGGGACTTCCCCCACAAATTATCAAAATCCGATTTTGCTCCAACTTTGCAAATCTAATATTTGCATCAGTGTTGAGGCAGGTGCGAAAATAAAAAATATCGGCCCACTCCTTCTGAAACCTCCCCCACAAAGGGTCAACATTTTGAATAACTATATATCTTATAGAATGTTAAATAACAATCCGATTCGTTTATCTTAATACTTCTAGCAAAAAAAGATCTGTTATAGAGAACGAATAGAAGGGACCACTAAGCATCCGATTATCTTCCAATTTTTACACATTCAATACTTTTATCGAAGTTCCCATTTTATAAGCCAAATTATAGTTGACACTATAACCTTACCAAAATGCAACAATATGTTTTATCTTTCCTGGATACAGAGATATGTGTCTTTGAACCCGATCGACCTGATTCTATTCAGTACAGCTTTCAAATTATGCATATATTATCCACATCAATTATATAGATCCGTTCTTGGATCCAGACTTTCCGCTCAAATACCCCGGTCCGTAACCCAAGAAAAAATACTTTACCGCAATCAGGGTAAAAATATTTAACTCTGGAAAAATTTTCCAAAAAATCTGACAATTTTTACTAAATTTCAATTTAACAATTTTATTAAATTTTATTAAAGATGTCATAGCATTTTTAGGAGATTATTTGTAAATCTTTTTTTTTACTTTTTGTATTTGTTTGTTTTAGAATTTGTTGCGAAAAACGTCCCGCAAAAAAAATGCTTTCCCGGAATGAGGGTACAAATATCTAACTCTAAAAAAAATTCTAAAAAAAAATTTGAGAGTTTTTACTAAACTAGAGTTGTACCAATTAAACAATTTTTATAAAAATAAAAAAAGAAATTTTCCAAATAAATATTTGTATTTTCTAAAAATTATTTTTAATTTTTTAAGATATCACAAAATTTTTAGGAGATTATTTCTAAATCAGTTTTTTACTGCATTATATTTTATGTTATTTTTAACGAAAAACCTGAATTAATAATATTAATTTGAAATATATTTAAGAAAAATGTTTCAAAATCATTCCTATAGATATTCTCATGACTGTATATCGTTGTATTCTTGTATCTTTATTTCTTTTATTTTTATTTTTATTTTTCTGCCAACATTTCGTGAAACTAATTCCTCCTTTACCATGTTTTCCCATTTTCTTTCCAGGTTGTCCACTCACGACAAGTTCACACTGCTTGAAATGCAATCGCGAGGGTTGCATCAAGTGCACCTTTTACCTGGTCACCGATACGCGCCAATGTGTGGAGCGTTGCCCATCTGGCTATGTTGATCAATGGTCGGCGCACACAGAGTTCATGGGTCGAGTGTGTGTACCCATTGGCTATTCCGGTGCACTGATGGCTGCATTGGCCGGCATGTTTGGCGGTTTCCTAGTCTGTCTCTCTATCTTGGCTGTGGCCGTGATGCTGGTGAAACGTCGCCGTCGACGCAAGGCCATCAAACAGAAATTGATAAATGAAAATACCATGGATCGTTCGGATTTTTTACGTCAGTTGAATGATATGCGCCCCAATGCCGAATATTTCTTGGCCATGTTGAACGATACGAGGCGTCAGATACGTAAGCTCTATTTGGCTGGTGATGTGGCGGCAGCCAATTCGTACAGACCGATTGTGCGAGATTTGGCTCGAATTTTGATTTTACTTAATCGACCAATAGAATTGATACCAGCTGCGCCGCATGACTGGAATCGTTTGTATACATGGTCTGAGCAGGTGCTTGAGCGGTATAGGCCTCAGGTAGGCCAGTTGATTGATATCTTTCAAAATTCGAATGGCGTGGATGTGGATGAGTTTGATGCCACCTCGGTGTATAGGCAAAAAGTGGGCGGTGGAGGGTTTTATAAACAGAGTGCCACTCTGCAATCTTCGTCAAATTTAACAGCCGGCAAGGGTGGAGGAAATGGCAGCAAATCGCAAAAAATGCATTTATTCGGCTCCCTCATTAGCCTGCACGAGTTTGAGGAGCCCCGCCCCTCCGATCCCTTTGGCAGTAGCTTTAATACCCTTAAAAGTGGTAATCTCATATCCGATCTCAATGCTAGTTCATTGTGGCTGGAGGATGAGTTCTATAAATTAGGCTTTCGACCGCAAGATGAAATAACGACTGAACTTTAGAGTAGCAGCAACTCATTAGCATCAGCATCTTTGCGAAGGTATTTTTAAAGTGTATTTTCTGTTATCATTTTTTTTTTTTTTTTTTGTTAAATCAAAAATAAAATTCAAAACTTTATTTTTCTCTTTTTTAAAAAATTAAGTTTTCGTTGTAAACTGTGAATATGTTTTTTTAGTTTAATTATTATAATTACATTTTTTGTACTTGTATTTGATCTTAATTTATATGTAAATCTGGAAGTATTATTGTTAATCAAGTTGGTCCAAAATAATGTCCAAACTCATAACAAACAAAAAAAGTGCTCAAATGAATAAAACAAAGAACAAGAAAACAAAACGAATAAAAATGTAAATAAAACAACAAATTATGTTTAATTATTTTTTAAGCAACTAAATAATGAATTAAAATTGGAGAGTTCTGAAAAAAAAAACGTTTTCTCAAAAAAAAAAAAAATAAATAAATAAATAAATCTCCCAACATTTTTTGTCAATAGATTAAATTTATCCTCAGTAGCTAAAGAGAAGTTTTTCTGTGGAAAAAAAAATCCTCAGTAGCTGAAGATAAGTTTTTCAATAGAAAAAAATTCACCTCAGCTCAGAAAAAACCCATCCTCCGTGGCTATGGAGAATTTTTTCTATAGAAAAAACCCATCTTCCGTGGCTGAGGAGAAATTGTTCTATGGTAAAAAACTCATCTCAGCAGCTGAGGAGAAGTTTTTCAAAAGAAAAAACTCACCTCAGCAACTGAGGAGAAATTTTTTCTGTGGAAAAAACTCACCTCAGCAACTGAGGAGAATTTTTTCTAGGGAAAAACTCACCTCAGCAGCTGAGGAGAATTTTTTCTATGGAATAAACCCATCCTCAGAGGCTGAGGAGAATTTTTTCTATGGAAAAAACCCATCCTCAGAGGCTGAGGAGAATTTTTTCTATAGAAAAAACCCATCCTCAGAGGCTGAGGAGAATTTTTTCTATGGAAAAAACCCATCCTCAGAGGCTGAGGAGAATTTTTTCTATGGAAAAAACCCATCCTCAGAGGCTGAGGAGAATTTTTTCTATGGAAAAAACCCATCCTCAGTGGCTGAGGAGAATTTTTTCTATAGAAAAAACCCATCCTCAGGGGCTGAGGAGAATTTTTTCTATAGAAAAAAACCCATCCTCAGTGGCTGAGGAGAATTTTTTCTATAGAAAAAACCCATCCTCAGGGGCTGAGGAGAATTTTTTCTATAGAAAAAACACATCCTCAATAGCTGAGGAGAATTTTTTCTATAGAAAAAACCTATCCTCAGGGGCTGAGAAGAATTTTTTCTATAGAAAAAACCTATCCTCAGGGGCTGAGGAGAATTTTTTCTATAGAAAAAACCCATCCTCAGTGGCTGAGGAGAATTTTTTCTATAGAAAAAACCCATCCTCAGTGGCTGCGGAGAATTTTTTCTAAAGAAAAAACCCATCCTCAGGGGCTGAAGAGAATTTTTTCTATAGAAAAAAACCATCCTCAGGGGCTGAGGAGAATTTTTTCTATAGAAAAAAACCCATCCTCAGGGGCTGAGGAGAATTTTTTCTATAGAAAAAAACCCATCCTCAGGGGCTGAGGAGAATTTTTTCTATAGAAAAAAACCCATCCTCAGGGGCTGAGGAGAATTTTTTCTATAGAAAAAAACCCATCCTCAGAAGGTGAGGAGAATTTTTTCTATAGAAAAAATTCACCTCAGTATAGAAAAAAAATCCTTCCGCTAGAAAAACTTCTCCTCAGCTACTGAGGTGAGTTTTTTCTATAAAAAAACTTCCCCACAGCTATTGAGGCGAGTTTTTTTTTATAGAAAAACCTCCCCAACTACTAAGGTGAATTTTTTCTATAAAAAAACTTCCCCTCAGCTTCTGAGATTAATTTTTTTTACTGTGGTAATTTTTTTCTATAGAAAAAAAGTCACCTCAGTAGAAAAATTATTCGCAGTAAATGAGGATATGTTTTTCTATAGAAAAAAGGGAAAAAAGAAGGAAATTCCTCCTCAGCTACTGGGTTGAGTTTTTTTATGTTTTTTTTTTCATTTGAAAAAAATGTTTTTAGCCAGAAATGCAGATTTTTATTTCAAAATTACTTCTCTATGCAAAAACGAAAATTACTTTGTAATATAAAAATATATAACCACTATTTACCATTCTCTTTATATGAAGGTTTAAGTCCATGCAATGTCCAGTAAATAAAGTGCCTTCCACACCTACAACCTAACCTAAGACGCCGTATTTTCTCAAAACAAAAAAGTGTTAATCTCCATAACGCCATGGAAATCATGCGTATTATTTTCAGTTAAACACACTCTTCCCAATGTTGAGTTTTTTCTTTGAGGTCTTCCTGAAAACACTAAAACATATATTTATTTAAGTTATTGTCTTCCGCACTTTTGATTTTTAATTTTTAACAAAAAAAAAAACATTCCATGTGGATTAAAAAAACTGTATTTATGTTTCCATTTCGAATATATTGTTAACATGTCTTTTCCTGTCTTTCGTTAATTTTTTGTTTTTTAATTTTGTTAAACTAGTCACAAAGAATATTGAACACAAACACAAAAACGCGTTGCAAAAAATAATCAAAATTACAATTTTAAGTTAAATACCTATCTATATATATTTTGTTTATAGAATTATAGAAGAAAGAATCATAAATTTCTGTATCTCTTCTCTCTTGTATATTTTATAAAATTATAGAAAAATAAGTGCGATTTTGTCGATATTTAGTTTAGCAATATAGTATATAATAAAACTCAAAGAATATATATATATATATATATATATATATATATATATATATAAAAATATATATATATATATATATATATATATATATATATATATATATATATATATATATATATATATATATATATATATATTTAAAACAAAAAGATAAAATTTAAATAAAACTAAATTAAAAATCTAAAAAATGTACACCTTCAATTTTTGTTTTTATTTTTCAAGGATGTTAAGGGTAAGTATTGAGAGGATATATTTTAAGAATATTTTTAAAGGAAATGCCAATTTATCCATCAGATCTATCTTCTTGGATATTCAATGATTATTTTTGTCAAATAAGTTTCTTTTCAAAAGCAACAAGCACGATTTTAAAGGTTTGGGAGAAATATTTTAAGGTAATTGTGGTGGAATTTAAAGGGCTGGATTTGTTTGCCTTTTTCAAACACATTATGGCGATAATTTTCGATTCCTTAGAAAAGAAATTATATCCAATGACCTGCAGAGTTATAATCATGGATCATGCTGCTCAAAAACTATGTCTTGTCTCTCCATTAGGAGGTAATCATCTGTTTGCCATATAAAAATCCAAAGCATACTTTCAGGCGCCACATAAAAAGAAAATGAAACCAATTTACAACACTGGTAGTGGTATCATTTTAGCGCCATCTTTTGGCACACATGATTCATTTTGAGGAAATATTTTTTAACACCCGAGCATTTTGCTTTTTTCCTGAGGCCAAATTAGTGGAATTCTTGAACACCAAGGAAATTTAAATATTTTATATAGAAAAATTTAAATCGTTATTTGAATTGATGATATGGTCCATATAACCTAAATCAGAAAGGGCAAATTCCACCTTTTCTTTTGAAATTTTCGGATTAAGATTCCTTGTAGTAATTCCATTTTAGGGATATAGCGTCTCCGCAATTGAGTCTCCAAAGGGTTGTTTTTTTTTTCAAAAGACAGGATGAGATAAAAAAAAAACTGCAACAAAGTCAAACGCCATAATTTTTATTTTTTTTTTAATTATATCGAATGAAAGCAAAAAATGTCTGAAATAGCATCAAATTTTAAAATAATTTTAGATTTGTTCGAATTGGTCACATTTGGCACGAATTATGGCCTTTAAACGGCCCATGAAACCTTCACATGCTGTCCGAATGTTGCTCTGCGGTATTGGACGCATTCCCGGCGAAGCACTTGATTGAGGTGATCGACACCAGCTTTGCTTTCCAAAATACTCCAGACAAAATATTTCTGCTGATGTTGCTGTTTTCTTCCGTCCATTTCCTTGACGTCGAGCTACGCTACCAGTATCACGAGCGATGGCACGAGACACAAACGATTTATTCACATTTAAATGCGGGAATAATTTTAACAGCTGTCGGTCGAGTGGCTTAGAAATGACAGCAGTCTGAATTTGGGTTCAGTATTTTCAGCTCACCCTTTATGCTTAAAAAACTGCCTTTTAATGCGGTCGTAGCGGTTAAAAATATTCTACAAAATTTTTTTGTCATAAAATTCCACTATAGTTTCAAGAAGAGGCAAAAATTCTAAATTTTGCTGCCTTAACAGAAAACATCTCTTTGGGGGTAGAGTCGTACTTTGTATGAGTTTTTTGCAAAATACTCCAACAAGGTATCGTTTTAAGGGGGTGACGTTAAAGACAGAAATATTCTTCATAAAATTCGCTATAAGTCACCAAAGAAAACAACCCTTCATTAAATATCAAAAAATATCTAAAAATAAAAATTAGGAAAATATTTTCTAATTTTTGATTAATCTTTTCTCGTTCTTTTTTCGAATTTATACTCTAAAATATCATAAAATTTCGATTTAGGCTGAAACTGTCAGAAGATATTCTGCACAAAATTTAACTAAAAATTTCAGAATAAATTATTTATCTAGGAACAATAGTTTTTAAGAAAATTACATTCGAAATTTATGTATTTCAAGTTAAAATTCTCTGTTGTTGTTTTTTACTGTTAATTTAAATAGTTTCTATTCTACTTATTAGAATTTATAAGAAAAAATAAAAAAATTATATGAAATCCGAATTATTTCAAAAGGCCTATCGAAAAAACCCTAAAAAATGAACGGAATAAAAAATATTGGCTGCCACGAATCATGTGCGACAATAGATGGCTCTATAATCAATGTTTAGCCAGTGTTGTAAAACGAAGCTCTTTCGCTCATTTCTTTAACAGTCGCCTTGAAATATGCTATCGGTTTTGTTAATTTATATTTAAATTCGCTACACTATTTTACAAACAAATATAAACAAATAACTTTTAAAGTTAAAAATACAATGGATTGAGATGGAAACAAAAACGATTCCATTTGCAGTATTTAAAGAAAATAGTTAAAATTTAAATACCATTGAATTTTAAGCATTTCATTTAAATATTTAGCATTTCAGCAAGTATTAATTATTAGATTTTGTTTCCTTTTACATTCCTTAAAAAAAACCTTTCGATTTAATAACAAATCGCATTTGTTGTTACAACAATATTCAATTCTTAACAATATTAGTTAGCTTTCTTATTTTCTTCAATTCGTGTATACACATAGTTTGTTTGTATGTGAAACTAAAAGTGATATAACAAAATGGTT